TGGCTCTGCAATTTGGCACACAGCTTCCTTTTTCTCATGCCCAATAGGTCTCTGGCCCTGACTTATAGTATAACCTAAATATTTAACCTGGGGTTTCACTAATTGGGCTTTCTTCATTGTGGCACAGTATCCTTTGTCGATCAACAGATGAAGTAGTTGGTTGGTGTTGTCCCAACAAGTTTCCTTTGTCTGTCCAGTTATGAATACATCATCAACATATTGGAGTAACACATCTCCTTCCTCACATGGCTGGAAGTCTTCTAAGTCTGATGCCAAGGTGTTGCCAAAAAGAGTGGGTGAATTTTTAAATCCCTGAGGAAGTCTGGTCCAAGTGTATTGTCTTCTCTGGGCTGTTACTGGATCTTCCCACTGAAAAGCAAACAGTTTCTGACTGTTCTTATGTATCGGGATAGTAAAGAATTATTACAATGCCTTCCTTTAAGTATTTGGTGATATGGTCTTGAATTACTTGTGCAATGGGACGAGGGTAATTTTTCTGCTGGAGACTAATAAGCACTGCCAGAGGCTTCACTTGAATGACTAGTGGTGTATGGTGACCTGCATATCCTGGCGGATTATCTTCTGCCCATAAGCGGGGCACATCAAACTCCTGCAAAGTATCGGGGACTCGAACCTCCTGGGTCACCAGTATTCGCCACATCTCATCAGGAGGAAGTTTTATTACTAGTGCCATTTCGTCTTCTTTAAATGACAAAGTTGCCCCCATTTTGCACAACATGTCTCGCCCCAACAAAGGAATGGGACACTCAGGCATGTATAGGAATTGATGTTCAATATTCCTTCCATTTAGGGAACATCTCAGGGGCTTTAGAAAAGGGCGGCAATTTACGGAGCCATCAACTCCTTGTACATTTATAACATCAGCAGAGAAGGGAACCAATAACTTAGTAACTACAGATCTAGATGCCCCCGTATCTACTAAAAAGGTCACATTATTGCCCCCTATCTTCATTTGGACCAAGGGTTCAGGGGGGGCTTGACTTAAACCTGGTCCCCTTCAGTCCTCAGGCCATTGTTCACCTGCGGCCAAGCCTATGGCCTCCACTTGTTCTTGAAATTGGCCTTGGGGACTCCATAATTTCCACTAAAACCTTTCTTAAAATTGCTCAACATACACATACGCTGAAGAGGTGTCCGAGGGACACTTCCTCCACCTCCCATTTCTAAGACACTGCCACTGACCTGCGATGCCGGACGTTCCAACGGTCACCAACAGGAACTGCAATGGCTTAACCACCCACACAACTCTTGGGCCTCGTTAGGATACACCGATCCTGGACCCAGGGGGGTGATCAGGCCCCCTCTTCCACTCTCTAAACGAGTGGGTCTACAATTTCCTCAATACTTGCCTGCAGGCATCTCCTTTTCCAGCCGGCTTTGTTTCGTGACTTGTTTTGATTCTGTTCAGGTTCTTGGATCGGTTGGTTGTCCACCAAATACCCCTCCGGTGCCGTCCACTTCCTTCTGGAGAAATCATCCGTGCCGGCTGAAGGTTCAGCGTGACGGCCCCGACTGGGCACTGGTCAGTCCGTGCCGTCCTCAGCGAAATATCGCTCCATGTCCCATCTGGGGTGCCAGAAATATTGCAGAAAATCACAGGACTCAGACCACGGAATCAAAAGAAGTTTCTTTATTTTGCGCAAAAGGTTCAGAGCACTATATTTGTAGCCACATCTGAACAGCTTTTCATAACAAAACACAAGTTTATATATTCTCGTCAGAAACAGCAAAACATGGAAATATAACTGATAGCATGGATTGGTTGCTTCGAATTACAGCCCACTTATAGCCCCCGTTGCTATGCTAAAGTAGTTAAAATATCTTGCCTGAACTGTGAATTTTCCTATCTACAGCTTCTAAACTTCCTGTAACATACTTGTGGTTAGCTATAGATGAGACATAAAGACCTATGTGGTTAGCTTGAGCAGAGCTTAAAACTTTAACACCTCTGTGTGCAACCAACAAATGAACCTGGGGTTCATTTGTCCATTTCCTTTTGTTCTCCTTCTAACTAATACACGTATTTAAAACTCATGTTTCGCTTTATAACTCATGTCTTGTCTTATGACTAATACACGCATTTAAGTTTCACATTTCACTCCATGACCCATGTCCTCCTACCTTAGTGTAGTCTTGGTCTGATCAATAGTAAAGAAAATGATAAAAAGTAACTTTAAAAAATCCCAAATTTACCAGTATCAAATAATAATAATAATAACAATAACAACAACAATAACAATAATAACTGAAATACAAAGAAACAAGCAATGTATCCATATAAACTTTAATTAAGAACCTTGCATTGTAAACCAGATGATACCGTATATAATCAGTTGTGCCAACAACTGTTGGTAACTGAATATTTCAGTAAAATTTGTACAGCTGTATAGAACAATGAAAACCTGGGATTAGTTCATTAGTCTAAGTGATGAAATCTTGCACAGGTGTATTGCAGCTTAAATTAAATACATGTGCTTTGACTTTTCAAATGTTATCCATGCAAAAATATGCATTTTGGCAAAAACAAACAAACTTGTGAATGTAGGTTATATAAAATATGAGTTACATTACATAAAAGTGAACCAAATCAAAACATATAGAAGACTCCCAAAGGCATTGGTTTCTTTTGCATGAAGATACTTTAGTTTCTTCAAATAAGTATATAATTATAAATAACATCTATGAATCTTCTAACATTCAGTTAAAAAGAAATTATCCTTTGACCTACTATTTAAAAAGTTTCAAACTGTAACAAAAGTAAAACAATATTATTGATATTTTGCATGAAGAGTTTTGCCTTTTAAAATGTAAATATATAATACAAAGTCATACAAATTAAAGAACGAGCGTAAAGTACTGGCAGATCTGTTTTTGGTTCACATGGATGGTATCATGGGCATCTACAATATCAGTTTTAAAAAGTTAAATTCTATTTCTAAAGCAGCTAGCAAGGCTCTGCTAATAAAATATGACTCCAAGCTTATAATTCTGGAAGCATCAGACATTTGCACTATTACTTGAGCCAGTGATTCAGTATAACTGGAGCAGTGTTTTTTTTTTTAATTCATACCAAATTCTCAATACATCATAGTTTCTGAAAGAAATAAGTATTCCTTTTTAAAATTTTTGAATACAGCATAGAAACAGTCAGAACAAAGACATTCTTTATCTTTTGTGGGAACCCCACATTTGAAAACACATTTAAAGAAAACAGAATAATTGAGCTCCATTTTTGAATTGTAATAAATCTATCTGTTGGGATCATTAAATAGGGAAAATTGGATTAGGACTTTACAACTCTTATTTACAACTCTAGAAAGTAAAACAATATTAATTCATTGGAAAATGCAAATCATTTTCCTAAAGGAAGGCAATATATATCTCAGAAGAAACAAAACCATTCAGATAGATTTTAACTGCTAATTTGTCTTCTTTTTATTGCATATTTATTTTATATTACATCAAGACCGAGTGGCTGTGGTTACCGGCGCCTCGGCATAGTCAGCTGATTCCATCGCTGACTATAGGGGGCGAAACACTGGCTCCCTCGGATCGGGTACGCAACTTGGGTGTCCTCCTGGATCCACGGCTGACACTGGATGATCAGTTGGCGGCCGTGACCAGGGGGGCGTTTTATCAGGTTCGTCTGATTCACCAGTTG